TAAGGCGGAGTGGAGACCTGCAGTCTGTGGCCAAAAGCCCCATTAACCTCCAATGGGGCTAGAATTCCACCCTGAATGCCTGCCATCTATTCTATTTTCTCAGTTCTTAATACCCTGGAAAATTGAATTCACCGAAGCAACATCCTCTTCAGGCCAGGCTCCAGAGATTTCTACCTGAAATTCAGCCCTCAGAGATCTGGATGGCTCCCAAGCTTTTACCTTCTGGCAGATGGAGGAACAAGGGTCCTTAAAGTCCACCCTTCTTTCTGCAAACTTTCTGAAAAATGTTCACTTAAAAAAAGAGAAAAAACAAAGGAGTGTTTTTTAAAAGGGAACCTTATTTTGAGTAGTGCAGTTTGCTTTTTTTTTTTCTTCAACAAGCTATGTTTAGCTGCAAGAGGGTCTCTTTCTCTCGCCTTGTCCAAATATTTCAGTGGTAAAACAAAAGGATTCAGCAATATGGGCCTGAGAAAGTGGTAACTGAACTTCAGCTGTTCATTGGAGCTTGTAGTATCAGAGGAGGTAAAGGACGATAAAAAGAAAATGGAAGTGCTTGAATCAAAAAACTGCAGTGCAAGACAGCTTTCTTCACTATCTGTAGACCTCTGTAGACTTCCCAGCATCAGGATGGCTTAAGCAAGATAGGAGGCACCATCTGCAATTCCAGGTTTCTTCATTTGGTATATATGTCTCAAGAAATGTATATCCAGTGCTTAACTGTAGTCTACCCAATTAAAGCCTTCTGGCTAGAAAAAGCGAAGCAGTGTTTTCAGCAGTGAAAGCACGGACTTGCCTGAATCCTGTGCATCTTAAAATTTTAGTGACCGTGACTTCTAAATGTCATTGAGGCTGAGATAGCTGGATAGTCAAAGTTCAAGATTTCTAAACTTTTGTCATAAATTCAGGTCTTTTAGCTCTTCCTGGATTTTCCCTGCTTAAAGGTATTTTAGGGTAGAAAAGAGGATACCATAACAGTCCTTGCACTGGTTCGAAGCTCAGAGGGCATGGAAGGTATCTTGCAGTCCCAGCTGTTTCTGCTGTGTTAATGGCACAGAGCAGCATGAGGCTTCAGGGCTTGCAAAATTATCTTATGGCAGCATAAAGCCTTCTGTATGTAGAGCAGTTAGTAAATTATACACTTTACTTTTACTGTGATTTTATCCTTCTTAATCTAAGTTAACAAATCTATGTTAATCTAATCTTGTTAATTATTTTATGTTTAACAAAACCAGAGACTGGTTTTAAACCCAGAGACTGTTTATGAAAGAGACTTTTTTCATAAAATTGCACGTGGGATTAAAGATGAACCCCAGCCAACCCCAGAGAAATCTGATGTGAGCTTTGAATTTTCAGAACACTGAAATTCACTGGCTACAAAACAGTACAGCAAAGACAGTGCAAGTTTCCCTTATCTTGCCTTCCCCTTGCTGTGTCCTTCCCAAGGAAGATGGAGGTAGAAAAGCAGTGATCTTGAACCAAAGTCACACAGGTGTATTCTCAGAATTGTCCAAATGATTTAAGTGGATAGTTGAGCTTCCATGCCTGTTCAGACGTTCGCCACTCAACTAATAACAGTTAAGGTGAATGCTTTTTGGTTTTTAGTACTAAAGAGTTAAGTCTTCAATTACAGTTTGTAGATTTGTGGTCATTTAACCCTAACTCCTTTGAGGTTACTAAAATACATGCGCACAGCCTACTGCTTTGGTTAGGACTCACTTTGTTTTACTGCAGTCAGTTTTCTTGGGCCTCATTGTGCAAGTTCTACGTGTTTTTGTGAACCACGTCACTGTTAGAGGTTCCCTCCCTCACCCAAAAATATTTTGCATCAAAGTGAAATATGTGCTACTCTAACCCAATTGCACCAAAAGTAGAAAGGAATATATTAATCTAAAAAGGGGATTTTGGTCAAAGTACTGCCCCCCTCACGTGCATATTTTGAGCACTGTGCAAGAGCAGCAGGATTTTCTTATATTCTGTGATGGAGTGAGAGGGGTGGCAGGGGGCTTGTTTGAAAGGGAAAGTATGTAGAAAAAAGAAGCTGGTGTGGAGGGTTGGGGGAGAGAAAGAGCCCTTATGTGGCTTCTGTCCCTCAGTTTAAAATTGTCAGGTTATCACTTCTCATCACAAGGGTTCAACGGGTTAATAGAAAGAGGGATTTTCATTGCACTGTGCACAGTACCTATGATAGTCTCGGTTTAAACTTAAAGGACAGGTGAAAACAGAGAGAGCGCTGAATGCAATATACTGGAGAAATTGTTCATTCCTGTGAAATGCTGACCTCTGTCATCCTGCCAAGCTGACTGGGCCCTAGGGTGATTGGCTGCTTGAGTGCTGGTTGCAAAAGTTAAAGCTGCCTGGAGAGTACTTTAAAAGGACAGTGTCAAGGTTGGTGTACCCAAAATCTGACCTATCATTTCTTTTTCCCTCTTACATCTATTTGGAAAGTTCATGTCATTCCTCTTTATGTTTTTAAAAATCTTTTCCTCTAAAACAAAATGCTTCAAATGCTATTGAAGGCTAGTGATTAGGAGGAGAAGCTGTGAGAATTCAGTGGTCACAGTGTGGCAATGCAGATGTCAGGAGCAAGGAAAAATCCTGAAATACAGCACATGTGTGGAGACTGACTTTGAATTAGGTGATGACTAGGAACAGAGAATTCAAGTTGAAATGGGTAAGGGATCAATGAAAAAGAGGAAGGCATATTTTTTACCAGTGAAAATATCGGTGCAAATCCAAAGTTAATTCAAAACCTCTGTTAGTTTTTATTCCAGCAGTTTTTATTCCAGTTATATGTGCTGATGCTTCTTTAGGAATATAATCAGTTTGTTACCTATAATCCTTACCATAAGTGAAATATATCCTTTCCTCTCATTTACTTTCTTTGCTTGATGACTTAATTAAAAACCTATTATGTCAATGCCATTTTCTTCTGTGTGATATAAGATCCCAAGACCCCTTGGTCAGTATTATAACCTTGCTATGCTACTTACTGTAAAAACTCACAGGCAAATATTGCAGCTACTCAAACAATTTTTAGTCTAATTGGAAAAGAGATGAAACAACTACACGTGCAAAGCATAGAAGAAAAAGATAGAGGAAGTAGTTAAAGCAAAGAAAATAATTTTTGCACTTAATTATGGTGTTTCCCGGGATATGCAGGGGAAAAAAAACCTCAAAATATGAACTCTCTGCGGGTTACAGTCAACCATGTTACCCTGTAAGAGTCTGGGGGCCCTCAGATAAAAATGATCCTCATGTAATATAATGCATGATCACAGGAGGCCAATAGGATTAGAAACGCGCATTCACTTTAAAATTGACCTCTCCAAACTTTCAAGAGTTTATTCTGTTTTCTGGCAAGGCTTTTCCATTGAACAGTGAGGTTCATTTCCGATTTCCTTCTTGGTTCTTAAAACTACACAGCTAGTACGAAACCCTGCTACATGACAATCTTTTCCCTCTCTCTGAGATATCCTTCCCTCTCCTTATGCTACTGAGCTGGACAAACTTCTAATTCTGGAGGAGCAGTTTGCTTTACCCTACGCTGTGGAACAGGGCATCTGAGGTGCATGCGAGGAGCATAGAAGGAGGTCTCACAGAGACTGGTCCGGCTTCAGGGCTAGAGGAGAGAGGACGGAGAGAGGGAAGAGTCTGTTTGAGAGAGAACAGGTTCTTCTGTCCCTTCCCAGCCTAAAGTCTGGTAATTCAGGCTGTGCTTTGTGAGTAGCATTTTTGCAAAAAGTCTTAGAGGGATGAATTCAATTCTAGTACATGCTAAGAAAGATGTTGACTAAAGAAAAAAATGCCTTTTCTGAGACAAACCTCTTTGATAATAATTTCTAAATTTTGTTTCTCTTCATAGCTAGGATTCTTCATATCCACTAAAACAGAGTAAAAACCCAGGCAGCAGTAAAGAAGCCGTCTTGGTTAAAAGACACTCTGTCTCCTGCCAGCCAGGCTATTTAGTGTTTATCTCTATTACAGCCATCTGTAGCTAATTGTATAGTTATGGTAATAGTGCCCTCCAGAGGAATTTTGAAGAAATTATACTCGGAGCTAATACAAGAGATGTTTTAGAGGAGAATGCAACAGGAAATGAAATATTACTAAAATGATAAAATACTTGAACCTCAAGGGAAAAAGATCTCAATATCAAAGTTCTTTCTATTTTGCCTGTGCATTTACATCTAAGAAAAGCATATCCTAGTTAAAATAGGTTTCTTTATAACCTGATAGCAAACACAAAGTTTGCATAATTCTGCTTGAATCAAGGATATAAAAGCAGTTCAACCAAGTGAAGAATGAGATAACTCTTTCTAATTTGCAATGGTAAAGGACGTGGACAATACATTATGAGTAGGCTCCAGCCTCTCTCTAGGCCGTCTGGATTTATCCTGTACTTGCAGTTGTAATGTAGACATGGCACAGTGAATTGAGGCAATCAGAGGTAAGTGCAGATGTTCAGAGTTTTGTGGGTGAAGTTTATTTTGATCCAAAGGTAAGACCATACTTATGTTCTCAAATTCCACTACAGAGCTCTTCTGGCTGTGTGTATAGTTACAGTCCCAGTAATGTTAACATTTGTAGTCATATGAGATATGATATTTGCACAGCACATATCTGTGATATCATTAGCAGCAGGCAACTCCATTTTGTAGCTCTTGTTACCAGGATTTTGCTGTGGCCTTGCTTTCTGTTGCAAATGGCAGTTGTTTGTAACGTGTTGTGACACTAGGCCTCAAAGGAAGGGCATGTTATTGTGGTACAGCATGATATTTTATTTTAGGCCGTGTCCTGGAGGACAGTATACAACCTTCCAAGATGACATCTCAACACTGGAATGTCAGGTGTATTCAAATTCTCTCTCTCTCTCTCTCCCCCCCCCCCCCCCCCCCTTTTTCTTACCATTCTGAGTATTCTGAAACTCTCCTTTCCTCCTTCAAAAAAAAAAAAATCATGGAATCAAAATAACAGTGAATTCTGTATTCCTTTGCTTTTAGGCTTATCCCAGGCTCCTATCTGACCTGAACACTGTAAATTTCCAGTCAGGTCCCAGCTGAGAGCTCTGTACCAGGACAGCTCCCGCAGTGATGCCACCAGCACTGAACGGAGCAGTCTGGTATTTCCATACTTGGGATCAGATTGATCTGGTAAGTTTAGTACTTGCTTGGGAAAGAGAGGAGATGGTTGTGCTACTTGTGACATGTCTCTTTGTAACACAGTCGTAGCATTCAGTGTAAAATTTCTACTAAACCTGAGTTTCTTATTTTGCAAATGAACCTCAAATGACAGTGAAATGAGCTAGACGTAGGCTAGTGAGGCAGGGGTCACAGGAGATCAGTGCCAAGCGTAGGGAATATACCTAATCTGAAAACTTGCTCCTTTTTTGCTTTCTCCAGCAACTGAGGTGGAAAAAGTCTCTCTATCCCTGCCTGCATTCATGTCTTCAGTACATGGAGGTTTTAGCTGTTCATGGGCCATAGTGATGAATGGTACTATTTGTTTCTTTTATAGTAGCTATCCTTCCAATAAAGTATCAGGAAATCACTGTCTATGTAAACACTATGAAACATTTTGGATAAGGAATTTCAAGGGCTTTTTGGTGGGAAGAACTGTGTTGCTTTTGCCTCTTCTCCTTTACTAAGCTATTGCTTCCCACATGATCTGATCTCACTGTGAGCTGGGGACTTGTCCCTGGAAGACATCAGCAAACCACAGAGATCATTGTACAAAGCAACACTGCAGATACCAATTCCTTCTCCTTGTTTTCCCCTGAGATATCCCTACTGTAGCACAGTTTTCTCTTTCTGCCCTCCCTGCCTAGGCCTCACAGGCTCCCCTCTGATTCATCCCCTCTGATGCTTCTCATATGAAGCATTATGCTGCTGACTTTAGACTCCTTGCTGAGCACCGTTTTATTCCTGCACTAGAGAGGAAGATAGAGCAAGGAGGGGAGGCCAGAGGGGCAGAAGCAGAGTTCAGCTGGGCTGCCCAAAACAATGCAAGGTGGAACGCAAATCAAAGCCATGGCTACTACAATGTTATCAGTACTTCTGGTGTCATTTTGTCGTGTGTATGTTTAGAGCTGCAGAACTGCTGTTGTGTGAATATATCACCCAGCCCCTTTGGGTACACCTGACTGGTCCAGGTCAAGTGATCAGAGTCCTCCTTATTGCTCCCCTGGTTCATAAATACAAAAGCATCATGGCCAATAGCAAGTGCAGGCTAGCAGAAGACCTGACACAACAAAGAGCAGTTACTATTATAAGAATAATCTGTGCAGGTACCATTGATGAGGAAGGTACTTTGGGGTGATAGATGAAGCACTACATTCTCTGCACAGTAGATATCTCTTTGCCAGCCACTGATTCCAGGTCCTGTCCAATCGTGGTGGAGGGCTGCTGTGATCTTAATTTCGCATAGCGGTTTGCAGAAATACGTGTTATTGCAGGTAAGCAGTACCTTTGCATTATTTATGTGAAAACTCTAGTAAATTGTTGTTGGCTTTCATGCTGCAGGTAAAGTTTTAATGAAAACAATAATGAATGCTTTGCTGGTATGCATAGGCAATCTAAGTATGCAGCCAAATTAGCTATCTCAGCAGATGCTTTATTTCCTGAATTGCATATACGGAATGCTGTTCAGTTGATTTAAGAAATTATATATACACTCACTGACCAATTTTTGTAAAAGCCTTTTTTTTTTTTTTTTAAATACTCAAAGCAATTGTTTCAGTCATACTGTGAGCAATTATGACAGTGAAATTAAAGTAGAAAGTAAGATGCAAGAAGCTACCTGGGCGCAAGAGTTAGGGAAAATTCAGAAATACGGTAATATTTAAGATGTTGTAGTATTGCAATATGTGCAATACTGTAGTTATAAACCAAGCATCTTATTGGAAATGCCAAATGAGACAAAGTTAGTAACTGTGTAAGCGAGCTTTTGTTTTGACCTTAGGATGCCTGTGTTCTTACGCTTGAACAGTTATTAATGTGTTTTCTTTGATAAAGACACGAGAGCTGATTCAGATGTTAGGCTGGATCAACACTGGTATAATTTCACTGATTTCACTGAAGATATTCTTGTCATCGTTAAGAGAAAAGCTTTCAGTCCTACTACTTCATCGGAATAATAAGCAAACTCGTTTGATAATTTTCAGCAGTCACTGAACTGATGCATCATGTGAGCCAAAGGTCAGCTCACAGCAAAACCAACAAGGGGGACAAGTGTGTCTTTATCACTGTTACTCCTTCCCGCTTTTGCAGTTGCTCAGCAGCTGTCTTTAAAGCCCTGCTTAAGTTAGGTCCTCTTCAAGGCAGTGATAATATTAACAGCTCCCTGGGACAACAGGAGGTCATTCTGTCAGACTAGAATAGCAAAGTCACCTTGGCTTTGTCACCCAGGCTCACGTTCATCAGAGCTCTGTGCTTTGGGAGTGTTCTCTGTCCTCTTTCGCTCCAGAAATCCCATGCACAGTGAGCTTCAAATTGAGGGGGTCTCAGGAATGGTGATGAACCACCTCACTAAATTTTCCATATTGGAAAACCTGCTGTAGTTGCTAAGGGAGCTTATCTGAACCATGTGCCAGTATCACAAGACTGTTTGGACTTTTTTTTTTTTGTTTGTGTGTTCTTTTTTTTTTATTTGTACAGTGTATGTGATATGAACAATTTAAGGTCAACAAACCCCTGTTGAGTGCAGTGGAATAACAAAGCTGAATTTCCCATTGAGCAGGCACACTGGAACGAGGAGGTGGAAGGAATAGAAAACATAGCAGAAAAATCACAAAAGGTAAGAGAAATGGAAGAAAAGAACATAGTGAAATTTAAAAAGCAGTCTGAACAAAAAAGCTTTGGTTTTAAGCACTCCTCAGCTTTGGGAGTGACTTGACTTCTCTTTTTCTGAAGCACTTAATCTCCTTTCTTGGGTCACCTAATGTATATTAGGCTTATACATGTATATTTTAATCTGCCTGCCTGTCTGTCTTCAACTCTGTATTTTAGGATGATTGTGGTGAGTCTGCTCTCCATTTCAGCACTCACTTTTCTCAGCATTTCAGCACTCACTTTTCTCAGCAATTTGATCTTTTGAAGCTGGAGTCACTGTTGCTTCCAAAAACAGTTCTGTATGGCAGAGCGTGCTGTTGCTTTTGTGGGATCAAAGTACAAAAGGTGTTCAAATAGGAGGAGAGATTAAAATCCATAGTCTACTTTTAGTCATGGCTAGCTTTGCAGTCCTTGTGTGCAGACTGTGGAGGTAGATCTTTCACAATAGCATTTTTCAAATATCAGGAGGGTGTTAGGAACTTTATCTGTTGTATGTAGGTGTCAGAGCTTGTGAGAATGTTTTCCATATTAAAAAAATGTATTCTATTTCTTCCTCATGGAAAAGTGAAACTTTGCTGCCCCCCACCCCCCTTGTTCCCTGTCTTTTTCCTGATATGTTCTCCGTTAATAAATAGAAGGTGAAGAGTGGTTTCAGAATTCAAAAGTCCTTTTTACCCTTTACAATAAAGTTCTCCTTTAGGGATGAACCATTTCGTAATGACGCAACCACTGTATTGTGTTTGGCACTTTTATTTTCCTTGCTGTTGTCTTTTGTTCTTTCTAGTAGCATCTACTGTGCTGGGTCTTCTCCAAACAGATAAGAATGCATAATTCCTGCCCTACGAAGCTTGTGAACTAGAAAGAAACAAATGGCTGTGGCACAAAAAACTCAGCAACATTGGGGTAGCTGTTAGTCACATCTTTGTATTACCAGAATTCTTGTTCATCTCTTGCTTAAAAACAAACTAAAAAAAAAAAAATCTTGCCCTTGATCGTTTTTCATTTTCCACCAGCACGTGGAAGAACTCTATTGCACCTCTATTACAGTTTTGCTGATGCCTTGTCGTTGCCTTGGTGCAGCAGTACTTTAAAGCACTGATCCAAGAGAAGTAATATCGCATCAGCCACAAGCAGGGTCTCAGACATCATCAGTCTTTCTTGTAAAGGGTAACCTTCTGACAGGGGCCATATTTGACAGTGATAATGATAGATATGATGGCATTCTCCTTAGCCAGACATAAAGCTTAATTGCTGTTGTGCCTGACATGGTGATCTCTGTTTCTTGCATCACGGTTCTGGAGAAATGACAGTAGGTGGCACTGGAGAACAGTAACATGGACTGTCTGATCTGTTATGAAATGGAGCACTTCTTTCCTCATTGGCTCTGTGTTAAGTTAGGTTCCTGGCCCCATCGATTGCTGAAACATTTTGCTGCGTTCCTTTTGCAAACCTATTATACTCAAAGCCTTATCCACATCCCTGGTGTATGGAGGATGCGGTTTGGGGAAGCTCTAAAACGTGTGTGAAGCAAGACTGAGAGGCAGAGCTTGCTGAAAACGCTGTATTTCCTCTTGGGGTGTAAGAACAAAACTTTTGCCAGCTCCTTACCTGTAGCTGTGCTTTTTATCAGAGGTAACTCATACATGCACACTCACAGCTAATCAAGTACGTGATGTTTCTTTAATTTTAGTGAAATATAGACTCCTGCCAGCTGGTGGAGCAGTGAGAGCATCTAACAGAAGAAAGGGAAACATGCCAGTAGGGAGTCTCCAGTTTGCTTTGTATCTAGAGATTATGTCCCAGGTGCCAGACAAAGAGCAGGGGAAGGTTTTTGGTAGTTCTAGGAGGGAATTAGGGTAGAAAGTGACTCATAGGTTTAGCGCCTGCCATTTAGATGGGAAACAGAAAGCAGAAAAAGGTTGACCACCTTCAAGCCTAATTAAAACCCTGAAAATGTTCAGTTTCCCAAGGCAAATCTTCATAACCTTCTGGAAATCATTGTGGGGAGAGAGGGGGACATGTCCCAGCTCAGTTCCCATTACGTGTATAGCTTTCTGTGCTTGCTTGGGAATATGAACTCTTTCTGTGCATGTCGTCTCTGTTTTCTCCGCCCTCCTTTTATTATGTCCAATCACTTTAAGATGAAGCAACAACACGCAGTCGCACTGCCATAAACTCTGAAATGGCAGCTCCCAAAATTGGTGTGTTCCTCGCTTTCAGGATGGCTTCACAGTAATCAGTGGTAACGGCTACAGTGCAGCATAAATGCCACCAAATAGTTTGTGGAGCAAGCTGACATTTTAAGAGTTTGAGAATGTATGAGGAAAAATGCATCACCTTTCACCAGCTGAAGTAAGTTTTGTCCTTGGCTAAATGCTTTTAAATCACAGTGACATCATTGACAGCCTTTGCGGTTCTTTGAAGGGCAGAATTTTCCCCATAATGCTTTATCAAATTCTTCCTTCGTTTCAGCTTGTTATCAGATGTGAGATATCTGCAATTAATTATTAACTGTAAATGATTTATTCTAATCCATTCAGTGTTACTGCACAAGGTTTTATAATTGAAATACTGTTTTGTTTATACCAGCTCCCTCACCTTCTGTGAGGATATTTTCATGCCTGTGACAACTTTGGAGCAGATTGGGATTGGGATTTTGTGTGAATTCTAAATGGCCACTTCAGTCAAGCAGCCTATAGCTTTTTAAGGAATGGTATGAAGTTTAGAGGCAGATGGTCCCTGAGGGAGGTCCCTCAGCATTGTGCCTGGAGCAGCCTCTGCTGCTCCCTTTTATGGAGAGTCCTGGGCTGCTCCAGTTCAAGGAATATGTCTGTGACTGGTACTGTACTTACTCCAGCTTTTCAGCAGGCCCTCTGCAGAGGGGCAAAGGTGTCATCAGTCTTTGGGAAGCATCACAGCATGAGGAAGGTTGCCCCCTCCATTCGACTGTCCCAGGTCTGTGTACTGAGGAGCCAAAGCCAGGGGGCGCCTCTGCCGGTGCCAAATGTGTACCTTCCCTCTCTCCTGTGAGCAGAGCTAAGAGAGAGCTCAGAGCCTGCGCCCCTAGGGGCAGATAGATAGAAACTGCATGGAGATGGAGAAGAGAAAAGTTTCAGAACGCCTTTGTAATGCTGATGTCTTCCTGAGAGCCAAATCTTTCTAAGCCTTCTCCATGGAGAAATTGTCTTGTTATTGTAAGCATATTTGATACTTGTCCCGTAAGTGTGACATCATCTACCACCGTGTTAAGAAAAAAGTAAGGCTCTCAAATAATGAGGATAACAGGTAAGGTGTTACCTTTTTATTGCTACTGGTGTTTGAAATTTCCCTGAAGGAAGATGTGGGAAAGAATCATTATCTTAGTAAACCGGTTAAACAGGAAGGAAGGCTTCTGACGAACAAATTACACCGCCTTGATATTGAAAGCACGTAGGTCATCTGAACGTGACTGTGAACAGGAAGAAACAGGAGGCTGTATATTCTTCTAACAAATTATGTATTTCAGGTAAGAGGTTGCAACAGATATTCCTACTGGTTAGCAAGTCGCCCAGTAGTGTACTTCTGGGTTCCGGTAAAACAAGAAAACGGAGCCTGCAGTGCACAAAGCTTTTTATATTAGAGTGCATGCACGTGCTGGAGGAAGGAGAGTGTTTTAGTATACTTGGACATGAGCTACCATGTTGTGAGCATTGTGTAATGCTGTCAGCTTGTTTGTTTTATATTAAAGATTTTACAATGTGATGGGATTGTCTCTTAAAGTCCCAGATGTCAGAACCATGTGATTATGTGAAAACATCAGCTGTCATTTCAAAGGAAAGGAAATCTTCCTTATTCTGGGGAAGAAAAAAGAAAACTCCAAAATATGAACTCAGAAACCATGAGGCAAACGAAATGAACCTTAAAGCTTAACCTTTTTACATTATAATGTTTGCCTCATTAATGAATTTTGAATCTTCAGGGTTGTCAGTGCCCTTCACTTGATTCAAATGCAGTAATATTGGCTCGGAAAGAGCCAGATCCTTTCCTGAAGTTTAAGTGGTGTTTTGAGAAGGATGGGGAGTTGGCATAAATACAGAGGCTAGTCTTACTAGCAGCCTAACAGATGAGTCTGACAACAGTGAGATTTTCCACATGACGTGCTGAGTCTCCCGTCTAAATGGTTAGTTTTATATATGTGTCTATATAATAGAGATATGGTGCTATAAACAGTGCTGTACATGTTTCTGCTATCTAACTGGACCTCCCTTTGCAGTGATCTGGGCTCAGAGAAGGGAGCCTGCTGTGTTATGTGGTCATCTCACGTGGACTTCTCTTTCCACTGAGGAAAACAGAGGAGCAGAAAACACAGACCATACTCCTTGCAGCCTTTGGCACTGTATCTAACCTGCTTTAAAAGACGGCTAGGAAAACAACACTTCTGAAAAGTCTGGAGTGTACAGGAGATAAACATTCGTATATAGAAAGATGGAGGTGGTGTGTGTGTGTTTGTGTGTGCGTGAACATTTTGAGAAATGTGAGGCTACACATAAAAACCTTAGTGGTGTAATAAGCAGGACTAGCTATCAGACATTTCCATATCATTATAGTATCACAGAGCTTGTTTAAAATGCAAAGAAAATATTTCAGAAACAGTTGAAAATGTATGAAAAGAATTGTATTTCTGTACCTCTCTTATAGGCTTTCATGTAGCCATTCTTTATTAAGAAAGGTGGGGCCAGAGGGAGAGATCATGTTCTCTTTTATTTTTCCTGAAACATTCAAATTTTCCAGGGAAAAAATAGAGTAAAAGTTCTTCTCTTGATTTAATGGAAATACTCTTTTCTCCTTTCTTTCCTTTATACACCTGCTGCAGAAATTGGGAGTGAAGGAAGTTGTAAATGAGGGCAATTTAGTAAACAAACAAACAAACAAAGACCTTTATTCATTCCCCCCCCCCCCAAAAAAAAAGGGTATCATCTTGGCCCCCCAAAAATGGGGTGAAACGCAGGATTCACTCTGAGGAAAATGTACAGGAATTGGCTTATAATGTGAAAGAGAAGTCCAACGTGCAGGGCCTCAGCCAGAGTTGTATGTATAATTTTGGTAATCTGGCTTAGTGCATCTTCACTAATGCTTTTTTCAACACAGCTAAAAGCAAACTGAAGCACACAACGTGTGAAATCACTGAGTTGAGTGCTTGAAAGAGTAGTTGGGAATAACTTGGAGAATTAATTTCAGCCTATTTAACATTTCATTTCTCTTTCTTGACTGTGGGTGACAGGAGCCTGTGTCACCTAGAATTTGATTTCAAATAAAACAAAAATAAATAAAGCTGTGGTGAATACCAGCTGCTGTAATATAGATTTTCGTTGTAAGGCACTATTATCTAAGCTAATACAGTATAGATCTTGGGGACATATTGGAAAAACTATTTGTGGTGCTAAGCTTTAGCAATATCTGAGAGTAATTTTCATCTTAGTAGTATTTTTTTTTCTGCTAGGGAATGTATTTTTTACTAAATTATTAAATCAGGCGTTTCTTTTCTGTGATAAAGTCCCCAGCACAATTGCGTATGTTGTGTAGTACTGCTGCTCCATGCCTTTTCTGGTTTTAGGCTACGTTTGTGCTAGTAAATTTAACAGGCCAGGGCCTTGAGGGCGAGTGACACAAAATTGATGATGTCCTTAGAGCTCAACTCTCTTTCTGGAAGAGGTAGCCTCTTGCCTACTGGGAGCGGTATCCAGTAGATGCTGTCCATCTGAACCATACCCAGGGGAGAACGACTTGGCAAATGCTAAAATCATATCAGGAAGCATGTTTAGTACAGCATGAATGATTGTGAGCCACTGCAGGGGACCATGCCTTGACCTGTTGATTTACTAATTGAAAGATACAACTTCAGGCTTTGGAGATAAACAAAAGGAAAAAAAAAGCTGAAATTGGTTTATATTTGCTTTGATTTATATGCCATATTCAAGCTTTCTGAGTGTTCTTTGAATATTAAGTGGAGAGCCAAGTCTTCTCTGTTTCATCCTTCTTTCACTTGCTTAACCTCTTTCTTCACCTGACTACACTAGGCTAAAAAGTGATAGGATATAAGGGAGTTTTCACAGGCACAAAAAAGCTGTGGAGACATGAATACAAATTCAGTTAAGGTAACATTCAGTATGAAGCCTGTTTTCGAATGTTAGAATAAATGTACTCTACAGGTGTAAAATAATGGGAATAGCAAGGAAATTGTTTCTTTAATGATTGTGAGAATTAGTATTTTAGATCCGTTGTTCCATACACCCTGTCAATATTATTTACAAATCAGGGTTGGGGGAGGAGGGAGGGATAATTTTAAGGCTGAAAATAAGGATCAGGTGAAAGAATATTTATTCTTCAGATAAAGAAAATCTTTACACCCTATGGAGAAAGCTCTAATGTGAAAAATACACAAGCATACCACTTTCAACTTGCTACTTATTTTTTGGTTTAATTTTTTTTATTTTTTTTTTTGTTTCAGGGAGTATGTAGCTCCACTTCTGAAGCATTACCCTTTTGACCTTGAAACTGCTGTAAAACTCCCCTGAGGATAAACAAGACTGAAGAAAAGAATCAGCCATGGCATACTTTGGGAGAATGCCTTTCTCACGAGATGAAGTTCATGAAGGGCAGGCTGAGGGCCAAGCAGCTTATTCAATGTACCATTCTGATTCTGCTGGACAGGTCAGTCTAGGATTTGATCAAATAGCTGATGAAGTCAGGAATGAATTTTTTTTTTATGGTTCATCACATATGCATCAGCCTGAAGAAAATTTTTTCGTGTCAGACATCTTTGGTTTGAATGTGCCAGAGAAGCAGTTATGTGGTCAACCTCCAGTCACTTGTGGTGAACTTTACCTTAGACATCCTTCATCTCACTGGTACCAAGGCGCTGCGTCACCCGGGATTGGCTTCAGATCTTCCTTACTGTCTGATTACAGAAATTTCTCTGTGGTGGATTCCTACCCATATAGTGAAGAAAGAGAAAACTACAGAAGGAATAGCGTAATTCCAGTCGCAAACATATTTGATTCAAATGTGAAGAGAGGCAACAAAAATCTGAATTTTCGGGTAGGCTTTGACAATGTAGATGCTCAATATCCCATCGTTTTAGACAACTATCCATTCGGACAAGGAGTAAGAGACGAAAGTGGAAATGGAGAAGCTCTTTCAACCAACACTTCAGGAAGATTCAGCGTAGGACCTACCTGGCCCAGTGGCTCTGGACAGGACAGAGAGGTATTTATTTTTTTGATCTTAACAGCATTTAAAGTTCTTGATCCTGATTGCCTGTGTCCTTGCACTTTGTGTATTCACTGACGCTGATGCAACGTGGATTAGAAACACTTCATTTAAGGACCTGATGAAAGAGAAAGCATTTATACCTTGGGGAATGAAAACCTTTTTGTCCCATGGAGAGGTTTTGTCATGTATCTTTTGATTCAACTGGCAGAAAGCAACTATGAGACTTCTTATTTGCTTCAGCGGCCTTTGGATTTGGTCTTTATTCCCTCCAAAGATACAGAGATGCAGGGAAGAGACAGGTGTATTTTCAGTTAATTGTGCAGCTTTTGATTTCTTGGCAGTCTATGTTTCCTGTAGTATTTTCATATATTTACAGGAATGATGGCCTCAAACAAACAGTACATGATTAGTAAGAGAGATTTATGCAGCATGAAAACCTCCAAACATCCTTTTCATTTGATTCTAATATCAGGAGAGAGCCCAGCAGACCGTAAAAAATCACTTTTGAAAGGAAGGTGCCTGCTCTGTCTAGCTAATGAGGACTTTTTAGTGGCAGAATCTGTGTTCTACCTGATTCATGTTTTACCTAATTTATACTTAAAGTGTCAACACATTTCTACTGTCAATCCATGAAAAAGACTACTTCATTTTGAAGTAGTAGGTGCCAGTTCTTCACCTAGTATAAAATGGAGTATTTTCATAAACTCTAATGGAAACTTACCAGTTTATACCATCTGAGAATCTAGATTATGGTCTAGAAGGCTCTAGTAGTTTAGAGGATAATCAGTAATGTGCTTTTTAACCATTACGATTAGATGGCTCATTGAACCATAGAGCTACAACAGAAGGAAAAGTACAGAAATGTAGAATGTTTGAAAGAGATAATATAACATCTGTGTGATCGGATAGGAAACCCGAGATTCAAAATAACAATACATTATGCTGAATTTGTTTTTCTGTTGAGCCGGATTATTTTCTATGTGTCTGGTTTGGCTGCCATATCCTGATCCTGAGAGATATGGCATACTGTGACCTGTCTTCACTCTGTTATGCTTGCACTTATGCATGCATATATATTCTTTTTTAAAAATAAATATGCCTACTGTAGATGTGGAAGCTGGTTCCTATAACATACACTCTGTCTTTAGCTCTTTCTGAAGCAAATGCTTTATCTTTCTTTTTTTCTCCCCCTTCCAACCATGGCTCCATTTGTGACTTTACAAAAGTCTTGTCTTCCAGGACTCCACATCCCTCTCCGATATTATATTTCTCCTCATTTTTCCTCTTCTTTCAAAATCCCGTCATATGGAAAGAAAAAGAAAAATGATAAATCCTTCCTTTCCTCTTGTCCTTGCTAGCACTCTAAATCATTATAGGAATCCTTAAATAGCCTACAGGATACCTCTGCACCATGAATACTAAAATATAGTTTTGGCTCACCTTCTGCTTTTAACTCCCAGAGATCACAGCATCTTAAAGCAAGGGGGAAGAGACATTTGATTGACTTGTGTTGGTGTCTGTGGATAGGGAGAACTATAGAGGTAAATGTATGCAGACCCAGACAGAGAATGGGGAGAGAATGTATGTGAGGATAGGAACTCTTGAGACTAATCCTAGACACCATATCTTGTAAGTTTAGTGATGAATATGGGAAGAGGAGGGGATTATTAGGTGGAGAGACAAGCTGGATCCTGTGTGTTTTGATTGGGGTGGAGGTGTTTTTGTTTTTGTGGTTTTTTTTACTTATGATAGGAAAGCTATAGTGTGCTGACATCATGATGAAAAGCACACTAAGAGTTTTAAGGAGAAGAGTATAAAATATTGGGGTACAAATGAGCAGGAAGAGATTAGATTATGACATCATGGGGTGAAGAGGGGCTATAGGAAGAGGCACAAATGCTTCTGTGACAGGAGGAGAGAATTATAAGGGAGGGGAGAGAAAAGAGGAGTGAGTTAAGGGCAACTGCAATTGAATGTAGGGGAGGATTTGATTGGGGAAATATTCAAGCTATTTAGCTAGAGGAGGAAGAAATGGGAAAGAGGAGAGGATTAATTTGTAGCAGCAAAATCAGTGTGGTCCCAGGAATTCCTTCACAGAGAGACAGCCATAGTAGGACAGAAAGAGAGGCAAGGCAAGGGGCTGACAAGTAAACCTGGAGACAGTGAGAGAGGGAAAATAACACTGAAAGAAAGTTAGGAGAGGGAAGGGTGAAAAAGCCTGGGAAGAGGTAACTCACTGCTCCTGGGCTGGAAGTTTTGGAAAAGATAAGAGGAGCTGGGAGAGATAGGGTTTGTGCTGAGTTAGATCATCAGAATGGTTGGAAAAGTGAATCACAGAAACAAAAGGAGAGTGAGCAGAGATTGATGAAGCCCAGGTCAAGTGAATGATGCATCTGAGTAGTAGCAGATGTGAACCACAGCTGCAGAGTGTGTGAAACAGAAAGGATGCTGAAACATGGAGCATAGCATTCAGATAGGTAATAATTATGCAAGCTGAAATAGTCATATTAATGAAATCAAGATATAAGAAATATCTATTGTCATTATGATCCTTAGCTCCTGGATGTAGCTGTATGGCCCTAGGCTTTATTTAATACACGCTGTTCAAAATGTGTCCTATGTAATAAGGCAATCTCATTAATTTTCTATGGGCTTGTCACCATCAGATTAGATGTTCAAATACGTTAAGAAACTGTCTCTGTAACATGTCTGTGAGCAGAGATTTTTTTTCTCTGTACGAGAGAGAAAACTAAAACATAACCTAAAAATATCCAGTAGCTTTGACAGCTCCATCTAACATATTTAGGATCAAGTGTTTTCAGAATAGCTAGCAATACTCACTTCTTCACAGAAATCTTTCAATTACTGGCTTCCATTGCTGCGTTGAGTAGTCATCAGACTTAAACTTCATGATTTCAGTTTGGCACCTCAGAAATGAGGAATACCCAATTAGCGTCCATATTTGGGAAGCATGTTTCAAGTGACTTGATTAGCATCATGTGGGAAATCTGTGGCTGGGCAAAAGAGTGATTCCAGTAGTCCAGGGCTATACCCTGCTACTTTATCCCTGATGTCATCAATTCCCTCTATGTGCAATTCTCTGTCTCATTCACTGCACACTTTTCAGATCTTTCCAACAAGTAGAGGCTGAGGTCCTATAGAAAAATAATGTGTAGTCATGCAATTAGCATTTTACTTCTATGCAAATGGAGAGGAGGTAAGGTTTCTGAACACCTGAAAACAGAAATGACCAGACCGAATCTCCATCTATTATATCTCACCTACATGATTCATCAGCAGAGCTGGAGCTATATGCCTACCACATATACCTCTCCTACCAGAAGTGATTTGAATTACAGTTAGCTATGGTATATTAATCCTGTTTGCCATTGGGACTCACTGAGAACTACTGACAGTAAAGGCAGGTGAGACAGACAACTCCTGTGTTCAGCTCCCTCTCCTGCAGGAGAGGGTCAGGATTTCTGCTTCATCTCTCAAGCCCCTTTTCCTATTCCTTAATAATTGCTTAACAACATCCTCGAAGTTGTGGATTTGAGGATCCATTCCTATCTCCCTTTGACCAGTCTACCTTTCCTGTCCTGCTTCTTGCTTAATCCTTTTCTGTTCCTCCTTCCTGAGCTCCTGGTTGCTGTTTTGCTCTCTTTGCATCTTTTTCTTTCCATCCCACTTGATTTCTTGACCCAGCCTCATCTTTTCTTAACTGTGACCTGGTTTTTCTTAATTTCTCATGTATTCAGTGTTCTCTTTTCCATGGCATACCTGGATAAATTCGGGAAATGTGTAATGGAAAGAGCAGAAAAAAAACCCAACCACTAAAGACCGATTATCCCCAGATTGCAAGCCCCTGATACGACTGCTTATAAACTAGCTGTTGCTAGCTTAGTATTAAAGCCAGCCTAGTATTAAAAACCTTTGTTATTGGTGCCAAACTATATTTTTCCTTGAACTTATTTTCAAAAGTGTCTGACCTACATTCATAAAAATTAAGAAAAAACAGATAAAAAACCTTTAAGGTGGATGCAGACATGAAGTGTGGGCCATTTCTACTAGAACTGTTGAAGATTTGCCAAGATCAAAAGAAAAAAATAGAACAAGGAGTTGTAATGTTAAAGCTACTCGAATAAAAACTGGTAGTCAGCCTCATTTAGAAGTAGAAAGTGGGAGGAGGACCTCCTGCACTGTCCAGTATTCTTATATTCTATTACACTGAGTCCAGTTTTTTATAATTGTCTTCATAATTTTTTCAAAAAACGACCAAAAAATAGGGGGTTTTGCTCCACAGGGCTGATTAGAAGGCTGTTCTGGAACATGGTACTAGCTCTGATAATTGGAAACATTCTTCCAATTTCTAGCTGAAACAGCCAGTTTGTAAATTTTGTTCATGTGTGAACTCTGTTGAGTTAAATAAGCTCTTTTCCCTCCTTGGTGTTTGTCCTTCTGTTAGATTTCTGTAGTGATAAAGAAGTTATGTAGGCCTTCCTCTCTTAGGCTTTATTTTCCTGTGTTAGCCAAGCCTTAATGTTTTAATATCCTTTCATTAGATTAAGTTATCCTTCTCTTTGTCTTCCTGGCAATCATAGACTCATAGAATAATTTGGGTTGGAAAGGTCCACAGGAGGTCATATTGTCCAACCTCCTGCTCAAAGTAGGGTCAGCTATGAGATCAGACTGGGCTGCTCAGGACTTTATCCAGTCAGGTGCTGAGAACCCCCAAGGGTGGAGACTGTATGGCCTCTTGAGGCAACCTGCCCCACTGCCTGGCTGCCCTCATGGGAAAAAAGGTTTTCCTTATATATAGTCTGTGCCTCTCTTGTTTCAGGTCAACTCCATTGTTTCTTGCTCTCCTATTATGCACCGTGCTGAATAGTCATCTTGATAATCTCCTCGTAGCTGCTGGGGGGCTGCTGTTATGTCTACTGAAACAGTCTCTCCCAGACTGAATCAGCGCAGCTCCCTCAGCCTCTCCTAACAGGGCAGGTGCTCCAGCCCTGACCATAGCAGTGCCCCTCTGCTGAACTTCTGCTGATTCATCGATGTCTTGTACTTATGGGCCCAAAACTGAACTCAGTAGTCTGGATGAGGCCAAGTAAAGGAGAATGATCTTTTCCTGTAACCTCCTGCTTATGCCATTGTTCACACAGCCCAGGATGCTGCTGGCTGTCTCTGCTGCCAGGGCCACTGCTGGCTGGTGCTCAGCTCACTGCCTGCCACGGCCCCCAGGCCTTTTTCCACAGAACAGCCCCCCTCAGTGTATGTTGTTGCAGGGGCTTTTCCTTCCCGAGGCGGGGCTCTGCATTTGTCCTTGCTCAATTTCGTGAGGTTCCTGTTAGTCCATTCTTCTGGCCTGTTTAGGTCCCTCTTAATGGCAGCTTTGCCCTCAAGTGTGTTGACTGCTCCTCCCAATATGATGTCATGTGAGAGTGCAATCTGTTGCTTCTTCCACGTCATGGATAAGGATATTAAACAGCACAGGTCTCAGTTTGGACCCCTGCAGGAGTCCACTTGTAACTAGCCTCCAGGTAGATCACAACTCATTAACCATCACCCTCTGAGTCTCACCATCTAACCAATGTTTTACCCATCTAGTTGTCCACCAATCCAGTCTATCATGTTCCAGCCTGGATACAAGAATATTGGGGGAGGCACTATTGAAAACCTTGCTAGAGTTGAGGCAAATGAACTGCTGTCCCTTCATTCATAAATCCTGTCGTTTCATCATAAAAGGCAATCAGGCTGGTTAGGGGCTGATTTCCACTTTGTCAATCCAAGCTAACAAGTCCCAATGACCTTTTTCTCCTTCACGTGCCCCGACATTGTTTCGAAATGGACTCACTCCATGATTTTCCCAGGGATGGAGTTCAGGCAGACCAGCCCTGGACTATCCTTTGGGTCTTTTTTGAAGACGGGTACCAGGTTTGCCTTTTTCCAGTCATCAGAGACCTTCCCTGATCTCCCTGACTTTTCACAGACGATGTAGAGCGGCTGTGAAGTGACATAGGCCAGCTCTCTCAGCACTCTTCTGGTCCCATGGACTGGTACGAGCTTTTGAGCTCTCTAAAGTAATCCCTGATTCAAATCCCCATCCACTGCTGGTAGTTCCCCTCAAATGCTGGGCTCCCTTTGTGCCCTTGCTGCAACAACTACTCTAACTTTTTTTAGCCTATCTGTGCTGTGCTCTGGGAGCTGCCCTCACGCTACTGGTTAGAGTTCCTCCACAAGCTGCAGCAATGCCTCTTTGTGCTTATTCTAGTTTAATTCCTCATCTGGAATATAGATGACCAGTATTATACACAATATCCCACATGAAGACTCTCTAGAGCCTTATGAAAATATCTTTTTGAAGAAGTATCTACCTTGATGTAAAAGTGACCAGGAATTTGGGTTTTTTGTATGCCTGCATAATGTTGTGAGCTCATTTGTGTTATCATATCATTCATCATTTCTAAATAGTGAGCCTCCACCTCAGAAAGTCTTTTTAGTGCCTACTGTAGGTATGTTGTAAGGCAGGTATCTTACTAGGGTGGAAAAAATGAACCAGTAGAGTTCTTATTTTCTCCAGTGACTATTGAAGGACCTTCTGCAAATACCTATTAAGCAGTTCTTAGCATCAGTGACTTGCAGCCTATGAATTTCTATTACTGAATGTAATTTCATTCTGTTATTTCAACCCTCAGGGTTATCCATTGTTTCTCCTACCAGACCTTCCAATTTTTCCCTA